ATCTTCAAGGGGATCTGAGGGTTAGCGCCACAGGATGGCCATCTCATGAGGCCCAGCAGTCTGCAGCAAGGCATGGAGGTGTTCCACAGCCAGCTTGGTGGGTGGGGATAATTTTCTGAGCATCTCACAGAGACATTCATCTCTTTCTCTCTGGAGGACCCCACATGGGCACTCACAGTGCTGGGCACCTGCCCTCTTGGAAGGTTCTGTGCTCAGGAGGGTCTGGAGCAGAAGATTCGCGCCATTGCTGTCAGCTTCCCGGTGTACAGCCCTCCTCCCCAGCTGCCGGTGTGACTTCTTTGCCAACTGTTCTGATGGCAGGAGGGATGGAGCCAGTCCCGAGCATCACAGACTGCTACCTGGGGGTGGGGGTAAGAGCAGGCAGGGAGGGGGAGCAGACTTTAGAGTTTGCTGGGCTGGGGACCCCTTACTGACAGCTGTAGGACTTAGCAAAGTGTCAAACAGCTCTGAGCCTCAGCTTCCTCATTTGTAAGTGGTGGTAAATATTATCTTCCACGCAAGGTGTTGAGAGAACTGAAAATAGTGCATGCAGATTCCCTGGAATAGTGCCTGGCCCTGAGTAAATGCTTAATAAAAACAGCAATTATTCAAGGCTTGGACTGCTACTGGCATTGAAGGTCTGAATGGAGAGAGAGAGTAAGACCACATGGTAAGGGGGCAGCTGAGCATCTGGATCCCATTCTCTTTCCCTGGGGCTCATCCATGTCCCAGACACTGTCCACCTCCTTTCCTCTCCTCCCTTTCAAAGTTGCTGTCAGGAAGTCATGCCCTAGAATGTAAGTCCTGTGATGCAGGAATACAAGTCAGAGGTATGTGCGTCCCATTTTGATGCTACAGGAGACAACATTTCTGCATGAATCCTTCCTTTTGCCCTTCAGCACTGTGGGCATAACCAGGTTTTGGAGATGCGGTCTCCGAAGCTCAGATAGGTTAATTATCGATTCCTCCCAGCAAGTCAGGGAGGAACTGGGACTATGGCCATGCGCCTTGCTGTCCTAGCAGCCCCAGTCTGGGCCAAGGGTCAGAAGTAGGGCCCTGCCACCCCAGGTCCTTCAGTCTCCTGGGGCAAAGCACTGTCCTGCAGCGAGGATGTCACAGGGTGTTGTTTGCTTAGTGCTCCCCCCACCCCCCCAGGAGCTACAACATGAGGGGAAGCAGAGGTCCAGGAGACAGGGAGGGCAGTCATGCAGAGTTCAACAACAACAACAACAACAAAGACCAGATAAATATTTACGATGTGCTGGAGACTGTTGTGGGGTTTCATTATGAGTTGACATGTTTAGTCTTCATGATTCTTAGGCAAGAGGTTCTATTATCATTTCTCCTTTACAGGTAAGGAAGCAGGCACAGAGAGGTCACTTGCCCAAGATACACAGCTAGTGAGCAGCAGAACCACGATTCCAACTCCAGGCTGTCTGGTCCCAGAGGCCACGTACTTACTGACTCATTGGACTGCCTCTTGTGCATTTGATGGAAGAGAGCCCTGAAGAGGATTCTTGCTGAGGCCCTGAAACCGCACCTTAGCTGAGAGCCTGGCCAGTCTAGGGTGGAGCAGGGAATGGGTGCTGAGCGCATTTGGGTCTGGGGGCTGGTACCACGAATAGCTCCAAGCTCCGTGATTTCCAACCTCAGCATTTCTGGTGTGGCCTCCATGGAACTCACGGGGGACTGGGAGGGAGATTCAACCCTAAGCAGCAGGCCAGGGGAGTGGGCGCCCCTGGCTTATTCCTTCAGCAAACATTTGTGGTGCACCCACACCTGCCCCAGTGCACCAGGTGCTGGGGACCCTCCCTTCAAACATAACTCCAGCCCTGCCCCTGAGATGCTCACAGTCTGATGAGGCCAGAATTGCAGCTCTCTGAAGGCCGATCAATGCTGGGGGACACAGCACGGAACAGCTTTGCCTGGGGTCTTGGAACATTGTCCAGGGAAGGTGGCACCGAACCAGGACTTGAGGTGGCGGTTTGGCAGGCCAGACTCGGTAGTCCTTGCCTGCTGGGGGAACCTTTGCTCCACATTCTTGGGAAACTTAAAGCCGGCCTGGGCAGAGGGCTTTTTGGGGAAGAGGGGAGGGGAGGGACAGAGGACATCAGCGCCCACGTGCGCAAAGCACCCTCCCCCGCATCCAGGCACAGCCGGTTTATGGGAGAAGAGACGCTCTGAAGGGCACGCGCCACTTTTACGTAATCGACCTCGGCACCCAGGGTGTCGGGGTTGGAGCTCGGAGGCGCCCAGGAAGGACCGCGCGCCCGCGCCACTACCTTGCCAACAGGGGCAGACAGCAAAGCGAAATAAGTTAGGGAAGTCCTGGGAGCCTTACAGAGCAGGACGGTCGTCCCGCTGCCGTTCGCAGGGCCCGCGGCGGCGGTCCGGGCTCCCCTCCCGGTCCCCTGTCCCTGCCGGCCCCGGCCCCGGCCCCGGGGGCAGAGCGCGCAGCCCTCCTCCCAGGACCGCTCGCTGGGTGACCTTGGGCGAGCCGCCTGACCTCTCTGGGCCTCAGTTTCCCGGTCTCTGCTCCCGACGATGCTGTGACCGCGTCGGAGAGCTCCCCCGCCGCGCGGGGCTGGCGGGCGGCGCGCGGCAGGCGGTAGGCGCCCAGGACGCCCTCGACGAGGACCGCGGCGCACGCCGAGCGGCCCCACGAAGCGGCGCGCCGCGGAGACGGGCGGGCGCGGGCGGGGGCGGGGCGCGGGCCCAGCGCGCAGGCGCGGCGGGCGGGGCGCGGGCGGTGGGGCCGAGCGCTCCGCCGGGCGGCTCAGAGCGCGCGGGGCGCCGTGCGGCGTGCGGGTCGGGGCCGAGCTGGGCGCTGGCTGGCGGGGCTCGCCCGGGACCGCCTCAGGCTCGCCCCCCGCGCCGCCCGCCGGCTGGCCTGCGCCGGCCCGCGTCCGCCGCTCCTCAGCCCCGTGCGGGCGCGCCGGGACCGCGTCCGGGCAGCAGCGGCTGCCAGCGCGGGGCACTGGGCGGCCACCCCCAAGGGACCGGGGCTGCGCGGCCGGTGCGCGCCCCGCGCCGCCGCCGCCGCCGGGCCGCCCTCTGGGGTTGGCTCCGGCGCGCCCCGGCCGCGGCGTCCGGCCCGGGTTCCGCGCAGCTGGGGCGCGGGCGGGGTCGGGGCTTGCGGGGCCGCCGCCGCCGCGCGCCCTCGCCGAGTCCGCGTCCCGGGCCCGGGCGGCCGGCGAGCATGGAGGAGAAGTACCTGCCGGAGCTGATGGCCGAGAAGGACTCCCTGGACCCGTCCTTCACGCACGCGCTGCGGCTGGTGAGCCAAGGTGAGGCGCGCGCCGGCCGCCCGTTCGCTGTCGCCCGCGGCCGTTGGGGGCCGTTGGGGGCCGGGCGGGAGCCGGCAGAAAGGCGGGCTGCGCGGAGGCGGGCCGGGGGTGGCTGGACAGAGACCTCGGGGAGCCTGGGGGGAACCAAGGGAGCAGTTTGGGGGCATTTGGGTGGGCTGGGAGAAGAGGCGACACCTGGGGAAACCCGACGTGTGCATCTGGGAGACCAGGGAGGGAAGGAAGAAGGGGCCGGGCGTTTGGATGGGACCCGATGGGAATCTGGGTCTCCAGGGTACCCAGGGGAAACTTCTGCGTGGTGGACAGCGGACATCTGGGGGCTTTGGAGAGGCGGGCGGGGGTGCAATTACCTCTTTGTAGAGGAGAGTGTGGGGGACTCGGAGAACTAGTGTGTTGGCTTTGTGTGAGAAGCTGGAGAAAGAGCTGGAGGAAGATGGAAGCGTTTGAGGGGATCAGATGCAGAGGAGGTGAAGGGAACAGGTGCTCTGATTGTTAGTGAAGTTCGAGCCCTCGGAGGAGGCTTGGGAGCAGCCCCGCAGCCCCTTAGAAGAGGAGGACACAGTGGTCCTAGTGAGAGAGCCCAGTTCCGCTGCCATCCCTCCTTTTCTCTCATGTCCAGGCTCTGGCCGCGCTCGCTGGGGGTGGGCGACTCACGCCAAGCCTTGCAGGCTGGCCCTCGGAGGGGTTAGCCGGGAGGAGGCCCACCCAAGAGCCCTGTTCGGGCTCGCCCGTCCTCTCTTCTGGAAGCTCTGGCTGGGTCGCCCTCACCGGGGGCTGGCTGTCCTGTGCCATTTCAGCAGCACTCCAGCTCCAGGTGTGAGCAGTCCTGGGAAGGACAGGACGCGGGATCCAGGCGCATATGGAGGCTTGCCTACCCAGCACAGCGTTTCTGGCTTGTTTCTCCTCAGCTTCCTGAGTAATCATCTGGGATGGACGGTAAATGAAGCCTGCCTTTCTTCCCAAGAGCAGTCCTCACTTCTTCCCGTATCTGGAATACGTGCTTCACATAGAGATGGGTTTGGGGCTACTGGTCTGCTTTTCCTTTGGGTGGTGGCGGAAACATTGTCTGAGCAGATGAGTTCCCTTTCGCGTGAATCACTGTGCTGCGACCGTCTGGGGTTCCCAAGTTAAATCGGGGCTGCTGATCTTAATGCCGGTCCTGGCTCTCTTATTGGAAGTGAAAGATGAGGCAGACATATTCTGTTTGTATATAGATATCTATATTTTAAAACAGCGCCCGCCGGTATTTGCAGCCATTTCTTCAGAGTAGGGTGTGTGTGTGTGTTTTCAACTGACGGTGGTGGTGGAGAGACTCCCTGTCTCCAAGAATTGAAGCTTGTTTGAATTGTGGAACGGAAGGCAGTTTACAGAGCTCTCCCATTTTAATTGCAGGTTTATTTTTATTTCTTTAATAAGATGGGCTTGTGAGAAAGTGATGGCCGGCATGCATTCTTAAATCAGGGAGAAAATGTTAAGTTTTATTTTCAGGCTCTTCTGAACAGTTCTACAGTTAGGTTTGTGCTTCTTGCTCTTTATGATTTACATATATCTTTTGTTGCCTGCTGGGCTGTCATGTGTGAAAGAAATTTCTTTGTACATTGTGTGAGATCAGTGGCATTAGAAATATTCTGTACTGTGGAATCAAGTGCATTTTTTCTTAATAAAGCTGAATCAAAGTTATGTTGTACTCAATTAAGGGAACAGTTTAACTGAAAGTGTAAAGAGTTATGTTAAAAGTCAGAATTATTTTTCTGTGCCATGTTGCCATAGTACTGTGTTGCTAATACATAAATTATTTTGGTTTCTAGGTTTTTACTAGTGTTAAACACTTCCAGTTACTTGAGACAGATATTGGACAGTGTTGCCATTTTTTTAAATATGTTAAACCTGATTACCTTACTTTTCCATAAAAAATTCTTATAACAAGTACATTTCTTGCATTGAACAGTTACATGAAGGAAGAAAGAGGTGTTCAGATGTTCTTACTAATGTTAATTTAGATTACTTTAGACTAAAATGTTTTTCCCTTAAATCTTAGGCTGATAACCAGAATGCAAATGCCTATCATTTAAAATATTAATTATACTCTCTTATGTAACTCCAAATTTACAAGTGCATTTCCAAAACAGTGTCTTATATCTGAATTTCAGTGGTTATTAGAAAGGTTTGATTTTGAAATGATGACCTTGTTATTGGCTTTAGAAAAGCACCTTTATTCTTACTTAGCTATATTTTTTAGTATTTGCTTCTCAAGGAAAGTACTTTTTTAGGTTATTCTGAGTCTTGATTCTAAAAGCAGTATTCTGGCACTAGATTGTAGAGCAATGATGGGCCAATGGTGCCAATCTTTATTTTATTGTGGAGTGGCATGTAATAGATACATTTTATGGTAAACATCTTCAAATGCTAACTACCTTATGTTTGCACAGTATTAAAGTTTCCAAGGTTCTTTACAGCACAGGCTATCTAGTTCCATTCTCATGCTTGCACCTTGTGAGGCAGACACTGGTGTCCAACTATTTTTCAGGGAAGGGATCTGAGGACCCCAGCTCTGTCAGCTTGTAGGCAACTGAGATTTAATTTTGTCTCAGGTCTTCTGTCTCTAAGGTCATCGTGACTGTTGCTTATGCCTTCTGGTAAAGATGGAGCAAAACATTTTGCATATGCTAATTTAAAACCCTGTGGAAATCACTCTAATTAATATGTTTGCCTTTGATTGACTTATCTTGATTCTTTAAAAAAGTTTCTTTCTATCCTTGTCTAGTGGTCATTGAAGAAACAAACATACATGGTAGATTTATCCTACAGGATTTTAATGCTCAGCCCAAGAGGCGCTGTTGAATTAAAACCCTCCTGTGACCAATGTATTACTTCAGTAATCAACATTACAGTAATGAAATAGTTTATAAGTGAGGTGTTTTCACTTTAAAAAAATTCAGTATTTGTAAGCAGAGATCAACTTCCTAGCTGAAATACTTTTTTTTCTAATAATTTTTAAGAAAGAACTTGAGCTGGGATGGCATCAGGACACGTGCTTCTACAGGCAGGTCGGCTTTTATACTTTCTCCGGGCTTGTGTGTTATTTATGGGCATTAGCTACTGACTTATTTTAATTTTCGCAGGATAACTGGTTCTCCTTTTCCCAACTCTACAAATATTGAATACTTTTGTTTCTCTACTGAAAGTAATGGGTTATGTTTACTTGGTGTTAAAACTGATATTACTCCCTTCCCCCCATGCACACGAGTGCCTACAGAGTGAGTTGACATTGCAGCTTCTTGCCAAGGAGGTTAATTGGAGATGAAAGTAGCATTCCATGTTTTGTATTATATTTGCAAGTAGGGGATGTGCTGACTCTACTAAAAAACATCTTCAGAAATGTCTTACACATCATAATTTAATCCAGCTCTCTGGTATTTCTTTGCATGGTTTTCAATCCAAGCCAAGTAACCATTAAATAAGATTACATAACCCCGTATTTTTAATTATCTGATATAATATATGGATTGGTGGCTGGTTCACTGCCAAGTTACATTTAATGGTTGGTTACACAAGGAAGTAGAGCAAAGGATTCAAGATTAAGGTGGTCTATTTGTGTCCAGGTTGATAAAGTCCTTTTTTGGTATTTCAAAATAAATATTTTTCATATTACATCAATTTCTCTAATATTAGGCTTTTTACCGTTACTTAGGACACTTGTGAGAGGTAAAAATGTGTAAAGGGAGGATCATGACTTTTCCCCATATGTGTCCTTTTGTTCAACAAAACCCAACGGCTTTAAGTTTCACTTTTGGAGGCACTCTTTAGAAGGTATTTTTGATTTGCTTGAATGTTGTTAGATCTGTAAACTAAGAAAGAACAAGAATTAAAATTGCAGAATTCTCTTCAGGTGTGGTGTCATCATGCTGCAGTGTGTGATTCTCCGCTTTATCCAGAGGAGGGTATGGTTATTTAGTTTTTAATTGTCTTTCTTAGGAGTATCAGTTTTTGTGTTTTTTCTTAAGAAAATGGATGTCATGACTCACATTTGTAGATAAACCTTTTCTGACTTTTCTTTAGTGTGCTGTGATGCAAAGTGACCCAGTGATCGTAAGTTACAGTCTTTTGGTGTCTGAACCTTAGTAGCATGCCTGTTGAGGTATTTGCCAGGTATTTGCACTGGGTCCTGGAGCAGAGAGGCACAGGGTGTCTCTGCTCTTGACACGCTCCTTCTCTCCCCCGCACTAGTTGGAGAATGAGTTCTGTTTATCAGTGCTGTCTTCTTTCCTGAGGAATGTCTCATCAGCCTTTCTACCATCTTTTTGAGATATTTAATGACTAGATGGTTTAGATCTAACTCAGCCTAGGGATGTTTTCAAGGCACTTCTTTGTGCCCGATTATGTCTGTCATCTCAGGATTGATAACAGCCTAGAAATGTAGAGGTTACTGGCCCAATTTTTCAGTCGTAGAAACTTGATACTCCAACAGCTACAGTGACTCATCCCAGGGGACATATTTAAAAGTGTCTGAGGGAAGGTTCAAGCTTTGTTCTCCACATTCCTTGTTCTTTGACCACACCACACCTACCGGCAGTGACGTGAGAGTCCAGCTGTGATGGTCCAGAAGGAGGGTGGACCCCGGGCCTCAGTAAGTGCAGTTGGTTCTCTCTACCCTCTGTTGGGACCAAAAGGATCCACTTTTCTATGCAGATTTCCGCTCCGTGTCCCCTGGACACATCCTCCTGCCACGTGGGTTAGGTGGCCCATTGTTTTGTGTCCCAGAGCAGCTGGTGCTCAGCTCCCCGCTGGTCGGATGCCATCCTGCAGTACTTGGGTCTGCCTCCCTGGGGAGGTGAGGGCTTCTCGGGAGGCAGGGCCGGTCCTCCATCCTGCCTAGTATGGGCACAGCGGCTAACATAATTCCTGTTACATCGCCCTTGTAAACTCCAGTCTTCAACTCAATCTTCGTTTCAGTGTGTGTTTTTTTTTTTTTTTTCATAAAG